GGGCCTGCTCGGCGGAGCGGCCGGCCCCTCCAGCGCCAGGTTCCAGAGCGCCGTGGCGCACACGGTGCCGGTCCCTCCGGGCGGGGGGACGCAAGCCACCCCGCAGGCCGTGAGCCCCGCTCCTCAAAGCCACGCGGTTACTTCAAGTAACGCCAACAATTTTGCCTTTCTGCCTGCCTGCCCGCTCTCGGGCCAGATTTTTAAGCTTTTCCGAGCAATCGCCGTGGCTAGAAAGGCGCTTTTACTTTCTAAGAGAGTCAAGGTCCTTTTCACCTGACCCCAAAGGCTCGGGCTTTAAGGAAAAATTTCCTAATGAGCTGAACACATAAGGTTTCATGCTTCGCAAGGAGCAGCTTAATGTTTTGGCAAGCACATATTCAAGGCAGCATTAAAAGCGGCGAAAAGTCGAAGAGCAGGGTCCGAGCTGCCAAGGTGATTGTCAGAGAAAATGACAAAAGAGAGCGAGTTCCCAGGAAGGAAGCAGGACTGTATCACTTGGCACTCGAGCTCCGTGGTGGGTGGAAAGGGGGTTGTCACTGATGCGATGGTAGATAAGATAGCATAGCTGCTATGCTACTGTTACCTCGCGTTCAAAATAATGAGTCACGCTTCAAAGCAGCGTATTTTAGAAAAACGTGCGATTGCATTCTTCTCTGCGTTATGCTTTTTGCATCGCTGCTCCGTACTTGCTTCGTGTTTTTCAGCTCTTTGTCTCCTTGGAGGGTATCCAGAAGCATAGGTTTTCACCTAAATGCAACCTGCGATGCTGAGATAATGTTGTGACTCCAGGACCTGGAGCTCCAAAAGCAAGAGGGCACGCTGCGAAATTCAGAGGGAGATTGTGAGAGGCTTGGCCCGTGCTCAAGTGCTAGCCCCGGAAGGGGAATGTTTGCATTTAAAAATCCCTTGCTTGTTTATAGAATCACAGAATCACTTGGTTGGAAAAGACCTCTAAGGTCATTGAGCCACAACTGTACCTGTCCACTGCTAAACCATATCTCTAAGCACCTCGTCTGCCTGGCTTTTAAATACAGACGTGTATAAATGCAATTTCTGAGAACAGGAGTCATAGTAATCACGCATCTTTTTTTATTTAAACTGTCACATCTCGTCACAGCCAAGGACCACTGTAATTAAGCTACTGGTTTCTACGAGAGGCCTTCTGTTTCACTGTCAGCAAAAAAATGGATACATGAGGCTGTTTTGCTTCTGCTTTCACAGAGGCTTT